ACTCACCGGCTACGGGCATTGCGAGACCGTCTTCATAGGCCATCGCGTCCCGTGCACTGCGAGACTGACTATTTGACGAGGCCATCGCGGCCCGGGGATTGAGGGACTGACAGTTCCATAAGGCCATCGCGGCCATTGGCTCGGTCAGACTGACTCTTCGCGACCCGAGAGGGGAGAGGGGTTCGAGGGGGCGCACACAGCGCCGTACACAATCACCCATCGGCACCAACCGCCGCACATAATCACCCACCGGCGCCAACCGCCGCACGGAATCACCCATCGGCGTCAAGCGCCGCACACAATCAACCATCGGCATCAAGCGCCGCACACAATCACCCACCGGCGCCAACCGCCGCACGGAATCACCCATCGGCGTCAAGCGCCGCACACAATCAACCATCGGCATCAAGCGCCGCACACAATCAGCCATCGGCGCCAACCGCCGCACGGAATCACCCATCGGCGTCAAGCGCCGCACACAATCAGCCATCGGCATCAAGCGCCGCACACAATCAGCCATCGGCGTCAAGCGCCACATAATCACCCACCGGCGTCAAGCGCCGCACAGAATCACCCGTCGGCGTCAAGCGCCGCACACAATCAGCCATCGGCGTCGAGCGCCATATAAACTCACCAGTCGGCGCCGTCGAGGCCCGAGACATTGCGGAACATAGTCGTCACGGACCGTAAACGTTTACATTGCGAGATTGACGGGCGATAGGCCTATTGCATCCTGGGACGTGGCCGGGGTCGAGTATTGGATGAGGCCATCACGGCCCGATTCACTTCTCAAGTCATGGCGACATTGGCTATCCGACGAGGCCATGACTGCCCGAGTCATCGCCACACTGACGATTTGAAGCTGCCATCGCATTGCCGGAGGGCCAGTGTGATAGCGCCATCATGGCCCGAAACCGAGTCAGACTGCTCGAGCGGGCCAACACGCACGTTCGAACGCGAGACGTGCAACGCTTCCCTGGGGCTGTCGTAAGGGGTCACTCACGGACGAGTTCATACATATCCAGAGGGAGGCACGCAATGCTGCAGATTCACTGTTTACTCGCCGAAAAGCACATCTCTCTTGCGGTCTCACGCACCATTGAACCATTTCGGGAATCTCACCCGACCGAAAGTCAGGGGGACTCAGAGGCGCACTCAACGAGAAGCCTCACTCGCCGAGGGAGGGCATGTTATGCTTTTGCGTCTCGGACACTCTGCGCACGGTACGTCGCACGGTTGCCGTCGAGAATTCGATCGTTGGCGCATCACGCTTGTCGGCGAGCACAAGCCCCGACGAGAGGGCATGTTCAGCTTGGGTGTCTCGGATGTCTGAAACACCCAAATATGTTCGGTACGTCGGACGGTCGCCGTCGAGCCTCTGATTCGTGAGCACAAATCCTGAAAGAGAGCTACTCACACGTCGGCATACTCCGCTGCTGTCACATTACAATCCACGCGCACCTCGATTTCACACCCTCGTGTCTCACCAGTCTCTCACCAGATCAAGGAGGCAACCGGAGTGGGGTTGTCATCCACCACCCCACTCGCTCCCACTCACGGTCTTCTGAGTAATTCACATAACGGGATTTACCACAGGAAGAATCCACATACAGATACTCTTGGGTGGCCAGCACACCCGTAGGGCACACCTGTTTCGGCTCTGCAAACTCACTTACTCGCCGAAGAGACACATCCATCTCAGCTCATGTCGGGTACCTCCAACTTACGGCCACAGGTCATGGCAAATCGCTCACGCTTCCGAGGGTACATGGGGTGCACGATTCACCGGACGAGACAGGCGTCTCACTCGCTTACTGAGGAGACGAACTGACCTCTTACTCGCTGGATCGGACGGCGACGACGGGCAGTCGGCGCGACGCTGTGGGAAGCGGAGCGCGCCGAGCGTATGGCTTTGGCGAGCTTTGCTTGGCTTTGGCGAGCTTTGCTTGGCTTTGTCACGGACCCATTCGGCTGGCCCCCAACTTTTCACTCAGCGCTTTGAGCACAGAGAGGGCTTTGCTCTGCTTCGCTTTGCTCTGCTTCGCTCATTGACCCTCCAGAGGAAAGGTTTGTCCGTTGGTTTGCTTTGCTTGGGCCGGTTTGCTAGGTTTGCTTTGGGGGCTGTAGCCGTTGCACTCTTGGAGGAAGTTTGTTGCTGGCATTGCCGTCCATTGCCATCAATAGACACTCGATCGATGCGCTTGAGTTGCGCCGCCGTGATTTGCAGAGAGAATTCACTCAGTCACTCATCGGATGCAAAGCTGTCCATCCGATCATTGACAGGTGATTCACGATCACCGCCAGAGTCTCACAACCACATCATGATCTCACACATGAACCCTCCACCCTGTTATTGAATGAGTCGTGGGCACTATAGGAAGGTGCCGGGCCTCTCCTCTCCTCTCTCCTCCTCTCTGTGTGGCACTGGCGTACACAAGTCAATCAACATGATAGTGCCAAGCCGCGGAATTCCCCTCTCCCCCGATGTCAAAACGTGTCACGTGTCCGTGGACATATGGTACGCTTACGGCTCTACCCAACGCGCGTACACAGGCAAGTGCGCAAGTGCGTGGATGCACACACGCCACCACACACACGAGGATATATCACGTCACAGACACAAGCAAACTATATCAATAATCATAGACGTGCGTATATATAGCAGTCGGTAAGCATGCACTCACGTATACAGATAGGC